AAGCATATGGTAGCTAATCCATGAATTATTTATTAAGTGAATTAAGAACAGAACACATATGAAGCCTACAAATTCAAATTAAACTAATACAGATTAGTAACTACAACAAAAAGTTGAGTCTATTATGTCACATTTTTTTATTCAACATGTGGTAATGAAAGAAAGGAATTTCACATAAAAGGACTTCATAGACAAAAGATAGCAAAACTATGTGGGATTTATTAAGAAAAAGGCCAAACAGTCCTGTGTGACTACAATGTACATTGTAGTTGCTATGAAGCCTGAAAAGAGTAGAAAATAAATCAGAACACAATGGCAAGAACTAAGAATGACTTAATGGGCTCTGAATACAATGGAAAAAACTCACTGAAAACATCTAATGAAGTAAGTTAAGATCTGAAACTTTATTTTAAATGAGTGTTTGAATAAAAGTAAGAAGTGAAAAGAGCTAAGAAAACACACTCAAGGTATCACCAAAATAATCTATATAAGAAAACATCAGAACTTAAAACTAGGAGTTGCACAAAAAGAAAATAGAATCATGTATTCATTCACTTTATGCCAGTTAGCAGATTCTGCATTAAGGACACAAGAGAAAAAGCATTCTCTCTACCCCCTAAAATGGATGTGCTGGTAAGGAAGACAAATAAGATAACAAGCATAACAGTTATAGGCTGTGGAGATTGAAGGAGAAGCAGAGTGGTGAGACAGGAGAGGCTACTTTGACAGTATTATTTGACAAGGTTTTGGTGTTTTTTGTTTTTTTTGTGGGTTTTTTTTGAGATGGAAACATTTAAACCGAGAACAAAGAATCAAATGTAGCTACCAAAGAGGAAGAAGAATTTAAAAAACATTTCAAGTGAAGAAAACAGAACAGTACTGTGATCAGATCATAGAAAAAGTACAGAGTTTAGAAAAAAAGAGCACCAAGATCTTCAAGACCATGGTGGGAAGCTGGGATTTCATTCTAAGTACATAAGGTTAGTGGCAGATAAATGGAGAAAAGCAGAGAGAGTTAATAAATTGTGGAGGATGGACTACTAAGATTTGTGTTGAGTGCAGAAAGAGAACCAAGGTAGGTTCATACCTAGGATTTCTAACTTTGTTCATAGAGGTAGCAGTCCCATTTACAAAGATGGAGGAGACTGAGAACAGTAATGAGGAGGTAAAAGGAAGACAATTCTACTCTGGAAATGTTAAATGCCAAATGAAATATCTATGAGACACCAAAGCAGTGACATCAAACAAGACCCATGTCTAGCAGGACATACAAGTATAAATCCAGAAGAGGGCCGGGGATGCCGCTTGCAAGGGCCGAGTTTGAGTTAGATCCCCAGTGAGGGAGAGAGAGGGGAGAGGGGAGAGAAGAGAGGGGAGGGGTGAGGAGGGAAGGGGAGGGGAGAGAGGAGAGAGGGAGAAAGGTTGAAAATACCTTAGAGAGCCTACTACTATAACCAGTACAAATAGGCTCAAATACAGCCCGCTACATCCCAGACATTACTCTAGCTATTAAAATGTTGAATTCATCTTAATCCTCAAAACAAATCAGATGATGAAAATGGGGTACAAAGAGATTAAGAAACTCACCCAATGTCATTCAGCTAATTTTAGAGCTGAGGTTCAAATCCAAGCAGTTCAGCTCCAGACCATGCACTTTTATGTACTTAATTGTGCTTAAGTAAGAAAAGCCAAAAGCCAAATCCTGAGCATCTCCAGCACCCACTGATGGGGAAAAGAGAAGCCAATGCAAAAAATACAAAGACAGGGAGGGAGAATGATCAGGAGAATAATGACCAACCGGTCAAGAACTGACCAGTAAGCATTCTTAGGATTCAACTGTAGAACAATAATGAGGAGAATCATAAGCTATTAAAATTGAAAAGTTACTCCTGGATGCAGGCTAGAATACATTTCTTGATTATCAATTTAGTACTCTGTAATTCCAACCTACACTGATAAAAGTATCATTCAGAAAACAGTACTTAAGAAACAGTACATTAATAAGGACAAAGGTAGTGAGAGCATCTGAGTGTTTACCTATCTTGCAATTTCATTCTCACAACCCTTATGAGGTGACTACCTCATCAACCTATTTTACAAAGGATAAACTTTGTTAGCTGGGCATGGTGGTGCACGCCTGTAATCCCAGCACTAGGGAGGCTGAGGCAGGGGAATTACTGTGAGTTCGGGACCAGCCTGGGCCATGCAGTGAGTTCCAGGTCAGTCTCAACTATATAGTGAGACTCTATCTCAAAAAACAAAACAAACAAACAAACAAAAAAATAAACTTTGTATAAAGTTTTAAGTAACTTGCTCACGGTTGTGCTAACTGCTCCAGTAAGAATCTGAATCCAGGGCCCAGGGTGAGCTGAGTGGTAAAGTACACATTTAAATCACAAGAGAGCCTACATTCAATCCCCTGTAGAGTATCCTCCCCAAGAGAATCTGAATCCAGGTCAGTCTTCAGCATCCTCCTAGCTAGTATGTGACTGCATCCCTAAGTACACTGTTAATCCAGACAGAAAAAAGTAAAACAAAGGAGAGCACAGTTTAAGGAGTTTTTAAAAATTGTGTCTGGATACATCTACTCTAGTATCTCCACAGGACATCCACATGGAGACATTATAAAAGAACAGACAATTCTCAATTATTCCACATAAAGAAAAATGAGTAAGATGGGACCAGGGATTTAGCTCAGTGGTTTAGCTCAGTGGTTCTGCCTCCTGTCTCGAAAGTGCAAGGACCCAAGTTCCATACCTGGCACCAAAAAAAAAAAAATCAGTAAGACATACAGAATAACTGGCACTACCTGCAACTAGCACAGTATAAAAGACACTACAAGGCTAATTTAAATGTTTTTACGTGAATTATGGTAATTGAGAAATACACATGGCTAAAATGAGAATTTTTAAAAACTTGGAATTGTATCATAATCTAGCTGCCTAAAACTGTTTCAAGGTCAGACAGGCATCTGCAGAGAGGGAAAGAAGAGTTATTAAAAACTGATCATGTCAGCTGGGGATTTAGTTTAGCTGCCACCTGCCTCCCAAGCAAAAGGTCCTGAGTTCTATCTCAGGTACCACAAAAACAAACAAACAAACAAACAAACAAAAACTGATCTTGTCAGTGGTAGGGAACAAAAACAGAGTTACCCACTGCTGCAAGTAAGAGACAATTCACTAAGCTTTTCGTAAATATAGAATAACACTGAAGGCCTTTATTTGCCCTTTTAAGGATTGACTGGGGTCACTGGTAAGCTTCTAATTTCCTAAGTAACCTGGTAATAAAAAGTGTCCTTTGAAGGTAGTACACAGAAGCATTCACTTAATTTATGAATCAATCTTGTGAAAAGGATCAGTTGACTAGCACTAATCAATTCTGACTGCTAATGTAAAAAATAGTAATTCATAAAGCCACAAAACAGAAAATACTGAAAGTCTACAGGCCGTCCCGAACCCCTACCTGCTTGTGAAACTTAAAGGGATACAGGCTATTTCCAACTAACACAATCTTCTTACTCAACAATGTCTCTTAAAGCACCCACAACCCTGTTACTGGCCTACTTTGATCACTATCCCACTTTAGTATTCTGCCCTTCAAAGGATGTCATAAAAAAACCGCTGAATAAATACCTCTGTCAAATAGATTTATGCCACCTACCTGTTGCCCTCCACTCTGGAAACTAATTCAAAGCGTGGTTCTCCAACAAAAGCAATTCAGTAAGAAACAGGTTCCTATGAAATTACTTAAATACTTCTCAAAGGCATACAGAGTACTTATATTTAAAAGTAGTTCAAGTCCACCCACCAACTAAGTTTGAATCTCTAAAGCATGTCATTTATTCTTGAATACACCTGCCTCCAGGGAGCCAGTGAAAGCCAAAAGTAGAAATATTATGCATGTAACATTTAAATGGATAGGGCAAAGCACCCCAAAGTTAATCTCTTGCCTGCATTTTTCAAACTGTAGACTTGTGGACATTAAACTCAATAATAACCACAAATAATAATGATTACTACAGGTCACCACATAAGTCATTTTCTTTACTCCAAACAATAACTACAACATAAACACTTCTCCCCACCTGACGAATGAGGAAAATACAGCTTAGAAAGGATAAGGTCACAAAGTTAGTAAGTGGCAGAGCTGAAAAGACGGAATGACTCCTTAAAAAACAGGATATATTATTCAGTTTATATGTGTTTAACAAACTCAACTGTATGTTGGGTTGAATTACCCATAGTTTCCACCTAAATATAACTCCCTACGAAAGCAATTTTCCACATGAACTTTTTTTTAAAAAGCCTTATTACAAATGTCTAAGGTCTGTACTGACAGGAAAACAATGACAGTGGACGTTAATGTTTTAAGAAGTCCAACAAACGCATTTTGATTAGAAACAACCGAGCTTCGCTCCAGAGTTGCCTCTTCCCTGCTGAGGCCATTCTATTTTCCAGGACTCCCATACACGTCCTAGTTCATTCACCTTAACCACTAAGTACATAGCTATTCCCTACCGCATTTTCATGTGGTTCAGCACAAACAATTGTGTGGTTTCAGGTACAGGCCTGAACGCCAAGCTCAAAAGAGTGCTACAAAGTAAATCTCCCTGAGAAGCTACGGATGTCAAAGGTCCAAGAGAAGAGCACTGGAATGCTCCTTACTACCCACCCGAGCATAAAACAAAATCCTAAATCTTCTCGACACCACCGTCGACCGCCTGCTCTTTCCTGAAACCTCTGAAGACATCCAAAGCAGACCCCAAGCCTCTGTCACACTCTCCCCCTCGGTTTCCCTTCTCTGCCCCCAACACCCAGACAGCAGACAGAGAAAGCTGCAGCGTCTGTCCAGCGAATAGCGAAGATGAAAACGAAGAGCCCTAGGGAGAAGCCTGGGAGCAGCCTCACCAAACCCAGAGAAATCTCAGCCGGGGACAGCGGCGGCGGGACCTGCCCGAACTGCGCTCCCATGTGGGCCCGCGGGCACGGAACCGCACTCACCAAGCCGTCTATCTGCACTTGCTTCACGGCCGAGTCTCCAGAGCCGCCTTTGCCTTTGCCTTTCCCGACCGCGCCTGAGGCAGCGCTGGAAGAGGCGGCGGTAGAGCCCGCGCCTTCCTTGCGGGACGCCATCTTTCCAGCCCGACAGGAAGAAAGAGAAACGTGAGCTACCGGAAGCGGAAGTCGGAGCGCTCCATGACGTCCCTCAGGTTCTGCGTTGACGGGGCGGGGCCGGGAAGAGCCGCCAAGGTGGGGCCACGCCTCCCTGTTCCAGTCCCGCCCCTTCTCCGGGTGGAAGGTTCAGCGCTTGCATATTGCTGCTTACCTCGCCCCCGTTGAATTGAGCGTAGATTTTCTCAAAATGGGGAGTTACTCTCCACACAGTTCAAACGTGGTTCGTCCGCATCATTCTGTTAATCAAGGGCAAGCGGGGATTGCGTACCTTGTCTTACGCGATTTAGTTTGGTTCTTACTGCTAATTTTATACAGAAATGAAGTAAAACATGGGAACTGTGATCAGTTACCAAAATTAAAAGCCTTTTGCTGCTATAATTTTCATGTAGCAATATACACGAGTAAAACCCAGAAGAAGTAATTTTATGTAGTGCTGAAGGGTGACGTACACATTCTCTACAATCCTGCTGACTTACGATCTATAATTTTATTTATTTATTTATTTTTCTTTTTATTGAGTTTATTGGTACATTCTAGGTATACAGTACAGTTACATTCATTACTGGGATCTTGTACCTTTACATGACAGGTCTTGGTTCTCATTTTTTCCCACGATGTATAATTTTAAATACACATCTCAAGGCTTTAGTGCTCCAAACATATATATACCGATTGTCAAATTTATATCCTCCATACCTCTCCAGGAAACACACCAGCACGTCCATCTGCCCATTCAGCTTCTCCACGTAAATGTCTTGTATGCACCCCCAACTTAGCCTTTTTCCAAAACTGAGCTGCAGATGCCTAACACACTTCTAAAAAGAACTGTTCTTAATCCTGCCAGCATCATCCGTTCCTCCTGCCTCAGCTTCCCAGAATGCTATAAATACTCCATTCCATCAGAAAATCCTGTAGCTTCTATCTTGAAAATGTACTCAGAATTTATACTTCTGCTTCTGGAAAGGGGGAGGGGGCAGATTTTTCCCAATTTCTTTCAACAGATACAACTAAACTCAAGGACATAACATGCAAAACAAAAGTCTCAGAGAGAGACGAAAAACAGGCGAGGGACCCCAAGAGGCAACACCAGGGTGATTTCCTAGGGTTTCTAATTGAAACATTGATCCCAGACTTTGAAATTGAACTCCAGTGTCTTGGAAATAGCAACGGGCGGTCAAACAAACAAGCAAACAAAAAGTTGTGCCAAAAGCCTGTTCTCTCCACACTCGGTGGACACTATGTGGGAACCTTGGACTTCCAACTCTATCAGACAGTGATGAGACACCCAGCCCCACCCCGCAGCGGATAGCCATCAGAGGCCTAGAGGAGAATCAGGATTTCAGCATGATGGCCCACTTTGTAGTGTCAGTGGAGGCAACGCTTGGATTCGTTCAGAGACCTTGCTATCTTTTCCATATAGGGGGTGTTGGAAGAGGCCTAGTGGGCACTGAATTTCCCTTCACCCTATCAGTAACAAGGAACCACCCTTACCCCAAGAATTCAACGTAGGTCCACTGTAAGGTGCACTGCTATTTTTACCCTCTTAGAAAAGTAGCAAGGAGGAATCCTTCCTCTACACTCCCATTGCCAGAGCTGTCCCTGAAACAAATAAAAAATACAACTCAGCCAGCAAATTTAAAGTGTTACCCAACATATGAAAGATAAATATGTCAGAATAAAATGGGAATTTAGAACTTTAAAAATGAAACAACAGGGCTGGGGATTTAGCTCAGGTTCTGCTACCTGCCTTGCAAGTGCAAGGTCCTGAGTTCAATCCCCAGTACCAAAAAATTGAAACAACAGAGACCAAAACATGATGAATGGGCTTAATGGCAAAATGAAAAGGAAAACAGAAAAGAAAATCAGTGAAATGGAGAGTAAATGATAGAAACTACCCAATATTTAAAAAAAAAAGAATTACCAATCACTTCTTGACCTTTTAGAAAAGATAAAGTGTAAAAAACGAATCAATATTATTTAAATGGCCATATTAGCAAAAAACAATCTACAGATTATAAACAATCTCCATTAAATTTCTGAAAACAGTCTTCAGAGAACTAGAAAAAAGAACACTAAAATATATACAAAAACACAGAAGATCCAGAATAGCCAGAACAACCCTAGGCAAAAAGAGTAAGGCTGAAGGTGCCCCATTACCTGACTTCAAACTATACTACAAAGCTATAGAAACAAAAACAGCATGGTACTGACCAAAAATATACATATAGATTGAATAGAAGACAGAAAAACAAAACCACTCAATGACTGCCATCTGATTCTTGATAAAAAGGACCAAGAATATACATTGGAGAAAAACCAGACTTTTCAATGCTCACCAAACTGGATATACATATGTAAAAGAGAGAGACTAGAACCTATCTCTCACCCTATACAGAAACCAATTCAAAATAGATCAAAGACCTACATACATATAAGACCTGAAACTTTGAAACTGTTAAATGAAAACAAGGAAAACACTTGAAAATATCAGCAAAGACGAAGACTCCCTTAATAGGACTTGCAAAGCACAGGAAATAATGGCAAGCATCAAGAAACGGTACTATATCAAATTAAAAAGTTTCTGCACAGCAAGGGATACAACTACCAAGTAGCCTAGGAAACTTAACCCCTCCCTTAAAAACCCCAATCATTAATAGGAAAATGAACTGAACAGACACTTCTCAGAAGAAAGAATGGCCCATAAATATATGAAAAATATTCAACATCTTTAGCCATCCAGGAAATGCAAATCAAAATAACAGTGAGTCTGACCCATGTCAGAAAGACTATCATCAAGAATATAAAATCAATCCATCAATCAATCAAAATAAATACTGGCAAAAAATGTGAAGGGAAAAGGAACCCTCCTACATTGTTGGCGAGAACATAAATTACTACTGAATCACTACAGCCCCTATAGAAATCACTATGGAGTTTCCTGTGAAACTAAAACTGAATATCATATGGGCTACCTAAACTACTCTTTGGTGTATTCCTTATGAAATTAAAGTCAGCTCACTATAAGGATGACTGCAGATCCTTGTTTATTGAGGCACAATTCTCAATAGCCAAGATACAGAATCAGCCTGGCTGTCCATCGATGGATGAATAAGAGAGATGTGTACGGAGGATTAGTCATCCATTAGGAGGAATGAAATTATGTCATTTGCAGGAAAATCGATGGAACTGGAAATCATCATGTTAAGCAAAATAAGCCAGACTAAGGAAGACAGCTATTCCATGTTTTTCATAAAATATGGAATCTTTAAAAAAAAAAAAAAGGATGCCATGAATTAGAAGGGTGATCATTATTAGGCTACCAGAAGGAAATAAGGGTGAGGAGGGCAGTAGGGAGAATGAGTATGATCAGAACATGAGATGTAAGTGTGTGAAAATACTACGCTAAACCCAACATTTGTAAAGTTAATTGGCATTAATAAAATATACTTAAAATGATTTGAAAATGAATTGTAAAAGAATGAAGGGAAGGAAGAAGAAAGAAAGAAAAAGAAAAGAACCAACACTGAGAGCTGGGGATGTGACTCAGAAAGTACCTGGTGCGCCATATACCCAAGGTTTCAGTCCCCGGTACCAAAAGAAACAAGCAAATAAAAATAAAGAAGTAAGACAAACCTGAACGGATGAGTAGAGAAGATAAAGTATCAATTTGTTGGATAGAGAGGTCTAAAGAAGAATAATGCGGGAGATCACAAAATATGCACTGAAAACCAATTATTTCGTAAAATTAATAGTACCTAATAAAATTTTAAGTGAAGCTAAAATAATTAGCATAGTGGCTGGATGGGGCTGTGTTGTTTGATGAACACTCATGAAAACTTGAGATATTTAATAAATGGGATTTTGCACAATGTATATATTTATCTACTTGTGTTCCCATTTAAAATGCAGTTGGATTTACACCAAATAAATCATAATATCAAGTCAAAGCCATGAGTATAGGGGTCAATGAATAAATAAAAAGCAATGTTTTCTAACTGCAAAAAAAAACACAACTTTTTGTGGGACATAAATGCTAAGAGTGTAATGCTGAGAGAAATTTATAGCTAAATACCTGTGAGAAAACAAAAACTATCTCAAGTCAGTAATCTATGTACTCTTTTCAAGATTCTAGGGTTGAAAAGACAAAACCTGAAACAGGCAGAAGAAAAGAAATAATATAATAAATTAGAATGCAAAATATACTGAATCTATTTCATCACACAACCGTGATTGGTCACAATCATTAAATTGTTTCTCTGCCCTCCCTCCAGCAGGCAGTTTACTATTGTAAGCATTAATTTCACTGTGTATATTCCTTAACTGGATAAAATAAATTCTCCCTTCATTCTCTCCGTCACGAAAACAAAACTTTTTAGCACACCTCTGTATTTTCCGGAAACACTTCAAAACACTTGTTACAGTGTTACCACTTGTTAAAGGCAGACCTGTCCAGGTTCCCCACCTGTCTGTACTCTGCAGACCCAGCCGGAAACCACCTCCACCCCCTGTGCAGGTCTTGAAGGACTTGTGCCCTGGGGTTGCGTGGCCTCTGGGGTCTTCCCCAGCCAGGCTTTTTCTGTCAGAGGTTGGGACTGGGGTTGAGGTTCACTGATGTCATCAGGCCCCTTCATGAGTGAGGCAAACCAAGCCCAGATGGGCACAGCCTGTGCTGCTAGGGGTTGTGCTGGGGTCTGTGTTCTCTCTGTCATCTTTGCACTTGCTGCCAAGTGCCACCTCTGCCCCCAATACCGTGCCAGCTTCCAGCACCACCAGCTGTTCAGGGCGGGGAGTGAGAATCACCCTGAGGTGGGTGAAGAGGATGATGATGGCTTCATCGAGGACAATCACACTCAGCCCGGGGCTGGGAAACTGGAGACAGCAGGGAGCAGGAACCACTTTCCCCCGAGCCCTCATCTTCGGACACCCTCCCTCCCTCCGTGCTGTGCCAGAGCTACAAACCTCAGGGACAGAGGTGGCTAGGGCTTAAGGGGTGACCAGGG